GCCTTGCATGAGCAGAGTAGCCTTCCTGCCTTCCCTCTTCCCTTTTCAACAAGAAACAAATACAAAAAAAAAAAAAATCCCTACAAAGTATTGTATAAGATCCTCTAAACCCACAGGCATTTTTCCTATGTTAATCACCACTCAGGAGCAGATACATCCTTCCTCCCTTCTGTACTGTCCTCTACAAAGTGTCCCTGCTGTCTTCTGAGGAAGATCTGCCAAGGAGAGGCAGAGAGGAAATTAGACTCTGGCCTGTCGTGACCAGCAGCCCACACTGGCTTTGTCCCAGGATCTGGCAGAAGGGGATTATAAGAGCCAGCGCTTCCCCAATGGGAAATCACTCAGAGAGAGGGAAATCTTTTTTTTAACTTTTTTTTTTCAGTAAACCTATTTTCTTTACCCTGTTTTCCTCCTGGGTTTCATCTATCGGATCTGATTGCCTAAAAAGAACTTCATTGTGTCAGAAAAGCATACCTCAAGTAGCTATAATGTTCAAATTGATATTTATTAAGTTAACTTTCTCTCACCTAGTATCTGATTATATAGTTTGTGGATGTCATTCGTTTCAGAATTATGCAGTATTAGAACTGGAAGGGTCTGTCCTTAAAGATTAGCTAGACCAACACCCTTTCTTACTGATAAATATAAGACCTGAAGCTTCAGACTTAGAGTGGCATTCCTGAGGTTTCTGACACTCTTAAAGTAGGTAGCAGAAGCCACACTGGAAGTTAAAACTTATTACTGGATTCCACTGTGCCCCGTGACCTTTTTTCTTAGGAAGCCTATCTTCAAAAAGTTTTATTTAGCAACGCCAGAGGCTAGATGAAGAAAAATCATTAAACTCAAAACCCATCCCCTTCATTACCTGTTAATACTGCTATGAATGCTGCTGCTGTCTGAACATGAGTTTGGCTGTTTGGATTATGTCTGGTCTCTCTTATTGGATGCCAGATCTCCCGTAGTGGCCATTCCATAGCTCAGTCATATCCACTGCCAGTCATTTGATCCAGGTAGGCTGACAATTCTTTATCCATCCCCAACTTCTCTTTATGCTCACTGCTGAATGTGTTTGTCTAGGCTAAGTGTCCTGCTGTGGAGTAAGACTTGAGAATCGGGTCTACCCTTATTTACTGAGTCATCTTGGGTAGTGATTGAAAGTCTCCAGGCTTCAGTTTTACCAGCTATAAAATGAGGATAATAGTGTCACCATTTCCAGAGAGTCTCTGTTTTGAATACATTTTGTAACTGTAAGTTAACCGTAAGTTTTTAACACTTAGAAAACTACTTACTGTTATCATTATCATTCTTAACCTGAAGGATGATGAGAGCAAAGAAGCTAATAATTTACATGATGTGTTCAGAGCCTTAAAACTAATCTCAATTTAACATTCAGTTTTGGCCTCTTTGGCAGCAAATACAATAATGGGTCAAAAATATTGTGATTGGAATTGACACTGGAATGGGCTTTACTAGTACAAAGCACTTGGCGTTGTTCACTGTTAGGATTTTCCCTTTATTTTGAACATTGCATCTTGTGATTTTTCCACGCGTGAATGCAAACACACTAAATTCAGGGAAATTGTCCTATTATTGGCAGCATGGTAGATTTGATGAGCACTTGTTGAAAGTGTGTTGAATGAATAATCTAGAATCTATACATAGTTATAGAAACATGGATTATATGTTATTTTACATGACAGATTTAGACTACATTAAGGGTCAGGATGATTAGTTTGTCTCATTTTTTCCTTCTTTTTCTTTTCTGAGAAGAGTGTGTCTTTCCTAGTTCAGTAATAAGCTTATGTGGATTGCAGTTGTCCATTTTGTGGTTTATCTGGCTTCCTTTTCCTCCTGTGAATATATCTGATACTACAGTTTAAAACATCCACTAATGTTTCTACTGCCTTGAGTGGGGTTCTTCTAGGAAAGTAAATCAGGACACTCTAAAACTCAGTATAGATAGACGTCCAGCTAGCATGCACTGTATATCTGCTCATGGCTATGTAGATTTCCAAGAGTGGATTGTCTCTGTATTTGATGTGTACTCATAAGCACCAAAGATCAGAACTGAGCCACTTCAGAAGTCATAGAAGGGAGTCTCAACTCCTTATTATAACTCTTATTATCCTCTCATATCTTATCCCACAGTAGAATCCTACAGATTCCCTCTGCTAGGTGGGTGGCCTCAGCCAACACCCTCTCTCTGGCTGCTTTGTCACTCTGCAGAACCCTGCCACTCAGAAGCAAGAGTGACAGGTTCTGCCCACCACTCCATCAGAAAGTCAAGACGTTGCATCTTACAGCAGCTCTGATACTGAGTTAAGAAACCTTCCCTCTCAAACTTCATTAAGGTTCTCATTTTCCAAGACTTGCTCCTATGGTCTTGTAGTACAGGGGTTAACATGGTGTCTGCTTTCTTCAATGTATGGCCCTAGGGGTCATAGCAGTAGATCTGCGGAGCTGCAAGATCACTAAATAGTTTACAGCTCCCCACCTAGCAGAGCACAGTCGTCATAGAGAATGGATGGAAAATATCCCCTTGCTATAATTGGGTTCAGCCCTGTGGCTTAACACCATCTTATTTGGCAATCTTTTTCTCTTGACATATTTAGTAATCACTTTAAAAAAGATTTATAACACTGTTCATGGGAACAAACAATGCACTAAATATTACACTTAGGCATGCTTTCAATACCACTCCTTTTCTAGCCTATTCTGAATCTTTTCCCAAAGTCTTTCTTTAAAACTTATCAAAACTCTCTCTCTCGTCTTTAAATCCCTCTAAGTTCTTCATTCTTCTAAAATAATTTCATAATTTGAAATATTTTATAGCTAGGAGTTCTTTTAATCAAAATTCACTGGGCCATGCTTAGAGAAGAGTTGATAAAAACACATTTTCACAGCTTAAAATCATTGAAGACATTTTGCTCACCATTAATCCCAAAGCATCAAAACAAACACTTAGCATATGGTTAGGCTGTGAAAATAGCCTCCTAGGTATCCCTGCATGTATGTGTTTGTGTGTGCGTGTGCGCGCGCACGTGCACACGCGTGTATGTGTTTACATATTTATATAAATGAATTCAAATTATTTCAGCCAAACATAATACAATGAAATGTTTTCTGAACGTGTAGATTGGTACCCATGAAGAGATGTGGGGCAAGGGGCCACTGAGAATTAGGATTCTCAACTCATGCTCAGTGCTATTGAAAGGACTTTGACAGCTGGTGCCCCTCAGACATTTTTTTAAAAGCATAAGATCCCATTCATCCAGACACATGTGCAGCAAAATGTCTTAACAGATAATCTATTTAGAACAGATTTGAAAGAAAATATATCAGGATCATGGAGAAGGTAATGAGTTGTAGTGGCACAGCTACAGTAGAACTCTGAATGTTAAATTCTAGTTTCTTTACAGATGAAATGTCCTTCATTCATCAGATATGTCATAATGGCTACCTATACTCTTGGGCAAGTCCACTCAGTGCTAAGCACAGTCGTAGATGTACTAGTTTAGTTAACATTCAACTACATGTTTGTCACTGGCCTCATTTTGCACAGAAAAAGCAAAGCCACCATGAAGATAAGCTGCTGGTGAGTCAAAACAGTTAAACTAAGGACCTGTGTAGCTACCACTGAAACAGTAACCTGGTGCCATTTTTAAAAAGGCAGTGATCGGCCCCGCCATTCCTAACTACATGGCCACCCTGAGCCCAGTTTTCTTATCTGTAAAGTGACTTGTTGAGAGAATTTAAGGCATGAAGCCCTGACACGTGGCAGTAGCTCATTTAAGTCCCTTACTCCCACCACACCCTCGACTGCCTTGTTTTCTTATCTTAGACAGTAGATTACACATACTCATACATATCTGAAATTGAGCATTTGTGGTGGGACAGTAAAAGCACACATTCAGGAATTACTTGCTAACAAGAACCTTAGGGATTCAGATGCCTAGAGGTGTATGGTAAGGGGCCAAGAGCGCAGGTTCTGGAACCAGACTGCCTGGTATAGCCCAGCTCTGCCTCTTACTATGTGTGTGACACTGGACAAGTGTCCTGGCTTCTCTAAATCTCAGTTTCCTCATCTCTATAATGAAGCTAGTACTGTACCTACTTTGTAATTTGTTGGAAGGATTAAATAAGTTTATCTGTATAAAGAGCCTAGAATTGTGCCTGGCGTGTAGTAGAGGCAGTTAAATTAGTGCTTGTATTCTCATATACACTTTGATGACAAGCATTCAGTACCTGGACACAGCAAATTCAACATGGGATAAGGTGTGTAGAATAAATTCCATTGTTCTCCTTTAGCATGATTCCCATATATCCCAGCCAGGGTCTTATAGTTACAGCTCCGTTCCCATATATGTAGGCAAGGAAAGCCAGAGAAAACAAGGACCCTCAAGGTAAACCTCTTGTTTTTTATGGTAGAGAGTGATTTAATTGGATGAAGAGATCATTTAGCTACCCTGCAAATCGGCATCAAAGGACGAGCCAGCAGAGGATCTCTGCATTTGTAACTGCACCTTAGTTCATTTTTTATGTTACATTTTGGAGAGGGAAACTGAACAGGGGACCTATATAAGATTTCCCAACAGTATAGACCAGTTGGGCCACAAATAAAGAACACTTGGAAAGAATTTTGGTGCTTTAATGCAGCATTTCTCAAACTTCAGCTGCATCAGAATTCCTAAGAGGGCTTGTGAAAACCCAGATACATCAGCTTCACCGCAGAGATTCTCATTTACCAGGTCTGGGGTGGGGCCTACGAATTTTCATTTCTAACAAGCTTCCAGGTTGTGCTGATGCTGTTGTTCTAGGGGTTACATTGTGAGAACCACTGGTCAGATGTGTGTTTTACATTCCTACTACCTACCTATTTCTGATCTAAGTTTATAACATTTAATTTGAACTGTTTAGCTCAGAGATGGAATGTCCACCCTCTCCAAAAAACAAAACCAGAAATATTTGATTAATAAATGCTATTATTTTTCTCCCTACAGTTGCATGCTGCTGTGACCAAGATCCAGGTTCCAAGGCCTGGTTTTAATTACACATTTGCCCATATATGTATCCTGAATAATGATAAGACTTGCATCGTGGATGACATAGTGCACGTCCTGGAAGAGCTAAAGAACGCTCGGGCCACCAATCGGACTAATTTTGCTATCACATACCCAATCACTCACTTAAAGGACGGGAGGGCTGTGTACAATGGGCACCAGCTTGGGGGCGTCACTGTGCACAGCAAAGACCGGGTGAAATCTGCAGAGGCCATCCAGCTTACCTACTACCTGCAGTCAATCAACAGTCTCAATGACATGGTAGCTGAGAGGTGGGAGTCCAGCTTCTGCGACACTGTCAGACTGTTTCAGAAATCCAACAGCAAAGTCAGAATGTACCCTTACACGTCCTCCTCACTGAGGGAAGATTTCCAGAAGACCAGCCGCGTATCAGAACGTTACCTGGTCACCAGCCTGATCCTGGTGGTCACCATGGCCATCCTTTGCTGCTCTATGCAGGACTGCGTCCGCAGCAAACCCTGGCTAGGCCTACTTGGATTGGTGACCATAAGCCTGGCCACTCTCACTGCAGCCGGGATCATCAATCTTACTGGTGGGAAATATAATTCTACCTTCCTGGGAGTCCCTTTCATCATGCTAGGTAATTACTACCCTTCATTTTTCTGTTTCCTCCTGCTGGTGGTGTTGACGGGGTTCCTGTTTAAAGGCCAGGAGTAGCCGTCTAACAACGTTGTTTCATTTACAGTATCTTCATTTTGCCCAAAAGTCCTGGGACCAACTCTATAAAGTGCTAGCAATCAGCAAGAAACAACCTAATTTGGTAAATATGCCAGAAATTCAAAGTCCTGGGTTCTAGCCCTGACTCTCCATTGAGTAGCCATGTGGTATTTAGCAGATATTAATCTTCTCTGTGTCCCAGTGTCTTAGGTTGGGCTTCCCCATAAGCAGGGTCCTGAAACAAAGATTTGGATACAAATAGTGTATTTGGGAGGTGAGCCCAGGAAGCACCAGTATGGAAGTGAGGAAGTGAGACAGGAAGGCAGGCAGTTGAAGGCATGTTAATGTGCCCAAGGTATATTACATTCTGCCCATTGCTGTGGACACCTGTGGTTCAGCCCCAATGGGGACCTTTGAGAGACCTTATAAAACACCTCTCAGAGAGGTTCTCCCTGGGGGTGAGGAATTTGGGCTATTTACCCACACACACTTTGTGATTCATTGAGGGCTGCTCCTCAGGGCAGTTAACTCCCAGCACTTCCCATGGAAGACTGAGCACACTCCTGCAGCCAGAGAAATCCTTCAGGTGACTGTAGTTGTAAGTCTTCAGCAAGATCAAGAATGGGGAATGGGAGAGCATGTTGGGTTTTCACTGATACTGTCTGCTACTCTCAGTTTCCCCACCTTACGAATAGAGTGGATGTGAGCATCACACAAGAGGACATGATAAATGTGTAAGAATTTTGAACATGACATGTGAGATACCAATAGGAGGGTAACCTTTTTCTCCTATTCTTACTATGAACTCAGGAGAATATTTTAAAGCAATGCTGATGGTGACAGCGTGCTTCCAGAGTGCTCACTTAGGTAAGCTGCAGGAGCTCCCTGATAGAGATTAACGGTCAAAACAAAGCCATAGTGATCATAGCATTGGTTGCCCTGTCCATATCATTGAAAATGGCATGCCCAGCAAGCCTGATGGCAGGGTTCTTGGGGGCCAAGGATTCAAGAGATTCACTTTACCCCTTTTCTATGGCAGCTTCTCATCAATTGCTTGAACAAAATTTAAATGTCATTTGGAATCAGATACTAACATGACAAATGAAGTGGTACTTTTTCCTTAACTGAGAAATAACCACTATTGAGTTCATTAGTGTGCCTTACGCCCTGTTTTAGAGTAGTAGAAAAGAATTTCCTCAGGAAATCTCAGCTGTGTCATGGGTAAATGATAATCAGGGTTGGTGGGGCTGCAAAGCCACAGAATTACATTCTCCCCTCCATTCTCTGTGGACTGAGGAATTGAAACCTAGTCAATAACATATACTAGTAGCTTTTGTGAAGAGCTAGGCACTATAAGAAGACTGAGCAGCCTGATAATTTGCTAAATCACTTTACTTGTCACTGCTGAAAACAACAGAGAAGGAGGCTGCTGTACCTCCTCCTGAATTCAGTCTATTAAGAAAGCAGCATAACTTGCCTCTTTAAAATAACCCCAAGATCATGTGGGTTGACTGTGGAATACAAGGTGGTTCCTTGAAGAGTGAGGACTGAGTATTAGCAGCTTGCACAGAGGCTTGTATCAAGGTTTAAATTAAGATGTTTTGCTCATGATTAGTCACATGCTTGAATGTTTTAGAGGTTATGGGAAGGGTTTTCGTTTCATTTCATTTCTTAGCTTTTCATTTCCTTGTTGCTTTTGTGGGAGGAAAAGAAACAGGAATCAGAAAAGAGTGGGGAACTGAAGGGAGATTGTAAGGTTCTGAAGGTGAGGCAAAAGATGCTGGGGCTAGTAAAAGGACAATCAGTACTGATTTGGTGACATTCCAGATTGTTACCAGTGAGCTCAAAGCATGCTAGAATATTTAAAACTTCTGAAAAATTAATTTACTAAGTAAAATAAAATTACAATATTTAAAGTTTCTTAAAATTAATTTTAAATAAAGTAACATAGCAGTATTCAAAACTTCTTAAAGTTAATTTCACTAAAAAATGAAATGGTAATATTCAAAACTGTTTAAAGTTAGTTTTATAAATAAAGTAAACTGCAATAGTTAAAATTTCTTAAACTTACTTTTTGTACTTTTTAAAGAGGTTTTAAATATTGTAAGGGAAAGTCAACACAAAACAGACTATGCCAGATAGTATTGGTGCAGGGAAGGATGTAAGAGGTGGTCGGATGGAAAGATGCTGTTAGCAGAGAAGTGTCTTTAAAAAACAAATCCAGAAATAGTAATGCCACAGCTCCACAAAGACTGAGTATCACTGAACTTTACATCAGAGTTCAATTCAGAAGAAATCTGGCATTTGCAGTGAAAGAGACCATCTACCACAGGTGCCCAATAAGACCTTGTTTGCAATTTGTGAGGAATGTTACATGCATTGATTTGATGGCAGCTTTTCCTGCTGATAATCAGATGCAATCTTTCTGTACATTCTCAGCCCAAAGAGTTCTCAAATTACTTAGTCAGAACATGAAAGGAAGCGACATGTTTTAGTAGCTAAGGCCCATTTGCAATAAATACTTTGCACGATGTAATGGGTACTTAATATGCTCATAAAGCTAACAGTGCCTGGATTTAGGATGGTCACCCTCCTGTATTTCTCAGATAAACTCTTCATTCTTAAGAGTTTATAAAATGAAATATAAGCAAGAGCAGCTTCATAAATGTTGCTTTCAAGGCTATCATTTAATTCTGGGTTTTTTTGCTTCCCAGCCCTAAAATGCCAGCAAATATTTCAAATGACCAAGAAGAAATGCAGTGCTAAGGGTTTTGCACTACAATAAACTGTCCAGTATTTAAATTTTCCTGTCTATAACTTAAAATGGCTGTACTTAACCTAAGCAGATTTAAGCAAAACTTCTTGATTTAGTATGTTATGTAAATACAATGTCAAATCAAATAAAAAGTATATAGCCTCGTTTCAAAGGTAAAGTATCTCAGAAAAAGTCTCAAACACAGACATTTCCTTGGCTGTCAATAGGTCTATAATGTGATAAACATTATAGATTTAAAATTCAACAAACTGAACACTGTCAGTGTAATTCTGGTCACATAGGCCAAATCCAGCCAAATGCCAAAATGACATTAGATTTAGAATGGAAAATTTTAAGATCACGTGTGTCAAGCAGTATTAACCTGACAAAATTCCAGAAGATGAAAGAATTTGGATAAACTCTTAAGAGTTCACCATAATGGGATGTGACTCTGTGTTTCTAGCCAAGACGATGCGTGACAGTTCTGGCAATAAGAACATAGCCTACACAGATGAATCATTTTGGCAATGATGTAAGCACAGATACATCATGATTTAGAATGTTTTTAATCAGTGTGCATACTAGATAATCCCACTTCTGCCAAAACCTCTGTCCAGATGAGTCATATCAGTTTGTTTAGAGCTGAAATCCTAAAAGGTCTACAGTATTATAAATGTTCATTGACATTTTTTAGTTACTATAATTTGGAGAAGAGTTTATTTGGTCTATACCCTTATCATGCATAAAATAATATCCCTTCTTTCCAAATATACCCATATCAAGCAGTGAGTTACTTGAATTGCTATTTGTGACTATATGATGATCATTATTTTAATCTTTTAGGGAATTTCCTTTAAAGGATGAGGATTTACACCATTATTCTCCAGTTGGGTATGATTTTAAAAGTTGGCCATAGGTTTTTGATGTGCAAGCTGTCCTTACAGGCTTAATGTTTCCACAGATTTGCTGATCAAATACAAATCAGGAAAGGGATAGAATGTTAGAGGATATAGAAGGGAACCAAAGGAAAGTTTTATCCATTCTACGTCTGGAGAGTTTGTTCCTTCATGTACATCCTTTACTGCTAAAAAGGAGAATTGAAATCATAGGGAAAGAGTTTAGATATTAGTTTCTACATGTCGTCTAGTTTATAAGGGTTGCTTGGCATTTATTAAGATACAAGAGCCCCAGAGATGGTACGAGATGAAAAATACTCTTTAAGCCCTTTTTGAAATGTTTGGGACTTTGAGAAGGTCAGGTCCTCTCTTCCTTTTGAATTGTCCAACCAGGCCACTCAGATTCAAGGACATGAAAGGAAGAAAGAATTAGTGGATTCTTTCTAATTTGTGGATCATTGCTAGGAAAAGAATAATAGCAGGGAAGTTTGGCTTCTTTTAGCTGTGTATTTTAAGATTATTCATATGTAGCAGAAACCAGAAGATTGGGTTTCATTCTTCAAGAATATGTTCTCATATAATGCCACTTGAAATATAATGCAGTATGTGGAGCTCATAAAAAGTGAAGGGTAAAACCTCTCATGCAAAAAAATTAGTTGCAACTGAAAAATTGGAATTCTTAATTATTTTTGCTCTAAAATTAAGCAAACCTGAAAGGTTTTGCTTTCCTGATGAGTATTCTGATGTATTTCTCAAGTCATGAGAACATGGGGGGAAAAATTAGTCAGTTAATAATAAAATTTAAACCATACGAAATCGCCAATATCCAATCATTTTTGACCTACAAAGTTGGTACCACTATCTGGTCATTTTTGAACTACAAAAATGGTAATTTTTATGGTTTGACCTACTAATTATTGTAGAAATCCATTATTTGCAACAATATGACAGTTTGCCTGATGGAGTAGTATATTAGAATGCTGTGGAAATACTCTGTTTAGATATAAATCAGCAATAGGTTCAGCAGCTTCTAGAGAAAAAAACTGATTTATAAGGGTTTTGTTGTTCACATTTTTGTGTACATCTGGTTTTTAAAAAGAGATATTTTATTTTGCAATATTTCCAAAGTTTGTCTCCCAAATATCTGTTTTTGTAATGGCCCATGGTCATTATGGAACTAATTTACAAGGAGATTATGTTATTTAGGTTTGTAATTTGTTCTTGCCCTTTTGTTCTTATACTCCACCAATCATATAGGGATGAGAGCAGGTG